GGTCCTGCAGAAGCTGTAGACTATGTAGTCAGCATGTAACGGACAGCATGACATTCTGTGGAATAGAAGTACAACCAAGGTCCCTCTGGATTAGATTTTGATAGTGTGCTAGAGACTTGACAGATCCCTGAGGTAGGATAATAGGGTAAGCAAATGCTTCAAGTAGTCTTTGCTAACACATATAGAGAAAACCAGAATTTGACAGATCAATAGCCATGTACCAGATGCCAGCAAATACATTGATTTACTCCATCAGTAAAACCACATCTGGTACAGTATCTGCACCTTTCAAAATCCATCTGTTTTCTACAAAGCCAAAGAGGCAACTTGAATAGAGATATGGCAGAAATGATCACCTTCATCTTCCAAGTCCTTGATGGTAACTCTAATCTTTGCAATCTCTGCAGGAATGAAATGTTTCTTTTGATTTACTATATTCATAGGTAGAAATAGATAGTTCTACGGGTTTGCAGTCAACCTTTCCTACCATTATAGCCCTTCCTCCATGGATTAGAGAAGCAGTGAGGGAATCTGCTGAGTTTGTCTGTTCTAACTCTGCATTTCAAAACTGGTAGAATAACCATGGCATGAGTTCTGGGATGAGTGGGAGTTGGAACTGAGCCCAAACTTCATTAATCATGTAATTTCCCTAAATTCCTGCTCTGAATAGAATTGGAATAGAATCCATACCATAGAATATGATACTGACGTTGTTTGGATGTTTGTCTCCTCCAAATTTCACGTGGAAATGTAATCCCCAAAATTGGAGAGGTTTGGGCCTGATGAGAGGTATTTGAGTCATGGGGTGGATCCCTCATGTGAATGGCTTGATGCTGTCCTCCCAATAGTGAGTGAGTTTTTGCTCTTGAGTTACACAAGATCTGGTTTTTTAAAAGGGTGTGGTACCAACCCCTCGCACTCTTTTGTTCCTGCTCTCACCCTTCACCTTCCACCATGATTTTAAGCTTCCAGAAACCTCATCAGGAGCAGATGCTGGCAGCATGCTTCTCACATAGCCTGCAGAATTGTGAGCCAAAATAAACCTCTGTTCCTTACAAATTACACAGCCTCTTCTTTGAGAAAAACATGTATGTGTGTATGTATGTATATTTATATGTATATTTAAATGCCAACAAATTTATAAGAAAAAGATAAACAACTCATCTGAAAGGTTAGCAAAGGACTTGAACAAAAAAACTTCACAAAAATATTCAAAGAGCCAAAACAAAACAACAAAAAAATGGAGAATAAATACATAAGTGAATTATTAATTTTAGGATTTCTAAAAGTTAAGAAAGGAAAATATTCTGTTGGCTTATCAGTAAATATACTATTTATATAACTACATTAATACAAACACTACTGTAATTCAAAAGTTTCAAATAAAGATTTCGATAGTACAAAGGGAAGAGAAGTAAGTTGGGAAATGCTGTGACAGCTAACTCTACATTTATACTTACAGGAAATCAGGAGTTAATATCTATAATTGATAAACCAAAAAGTAGTTTCTTCTATTTAGATGTATAAAGAATAAATATATGAAAAAAACCTTTAAAATAATGAAGAATGAGTACCTCTAAAAACAGGAATGAGGTAGTGAAGGTTGGGACAGGGTTTGATGATCACCTTAAAACTTATCTAATTATTTTTAAAATTATGTGCATATTTCATGAATATTAAAATAAGTAAACAAAAAAATTGATCCTACAAAACATAATGCAAATTAATTTAATTATCGAATATTTATTGGACTATGTGCAGAGCATAGTGGTTGTAGGGAACAGTGGGATTAATAAAATCAATGGCTGCCTTCTAGGAGAATATAGCCTTTTCAGAAAATAAAACAAGTATTTAAAACACTCCAAGAACCACCTGAGCTTGAGAGGTTGAGGCTGCAGTGAGCTGTGATTGTGCCACCGCACTCCAGCCGCCTGGGCAACAGAGTGAGATCCTGTCTCAAAAAAATAAAATAAAGCACTCCACAGGCAGGTAAAACTAAGGAAAGAGGACCAAGAGAATACTATAACCTCCACTTTCCATAATGTTTACAAAAATGTTTTTGTTTAATCTTTTTATTAAACTATTTCTTAGAGAAATTGATCGTTTATATTTAATAGGCACTGAAAAGTTGATTAGAATCTCTGTGTTCGTGGGCTGGTTTGACAGTGGGTGGGCTTCCATATACAAGGTGACTAGAAACCTTAGATGTTAGTATTTAGACATTTTTTTCTCTGTGGCTGTTTAGTTACAGCTCTTCAGTCTTCTGCATGGGCAACATGTGCCTGGCTTCTGGCAGTCTGAGAGCAGGATGGCGAAAGGAGCTAGGTTCTCAAATTAAATATGCATTCACACAGTCCCCCTTTTTTCAGCCTTGCACTGATATTTTTGAGTGTAGTGCTTGTCAGGTTCAGTTGATCCACAGAGTTGGGCTACTGAAATGAAGGTACGTGCCTTCACATGGTTGTTCAGAGAAGAAGAGAACTAGGTGTGGAGTGGGGTTCCAGTGGTTCTGATTTTCAGCCAGTTTTCCAGTTTTCAGTTCTACCTATACTTTCTGTGGTAACTGGCATCCAGAGATTCTCTAGGGATCTACAGGAATGTTTCAGTTTCTTCAAAGCCCATTTCCTTGAAAGTATTGCGAATAAATTGTTCTGTTCTGTTTTCTTAAGTCAGTTACCACAACACCATTTGCTTTTTTGCCCTTAAAACATTAAAAAAATCTTTATCTACTAATGTGCTTTTTCATTTATAACTCTTGTTCTTTAGGTTTATATAGTTTGTTAAAAAAAAAAATCCCTTTACTGTCATTTCAGTATGATTTGGGGGATGTGGACTGTGGCAGTCTGCATTTTTAACCAGAAATGTAGAAACCATTTATTTGCTCACCATTTTCTGTTTAGTACCTGGCACAGAGTAGGTTCTTAAATATTTGATGAAATATTGAATGAATTGTTAGAAGTTTTTATAGTTGTGGGAGGCTTTGATGGTAGAAAGATAATTATGACTATGCAGACATAACAAGTTAAAAGGCATCTTTTCAATTATGGTTTTACTTTAGCTTCATTCCATTTTTTTTTTTGTTCCTCAACATGGTCAAGGAAATGAAATATTTTAAACTGTGTCATAGTGCAGGATGGGTGTATGTTTGTTTACTTGATCAAACACAATTTTGACTGTCACATTAGGCTTAAGATACACATTTGCCTATTTATAATTTTTCTCTAGAGGTAGACTTGTATTGAGGTTAATTTATAATTAAGCACAGTCTTTATTCTTAATTATATCTACATTCTGTAGAGGCTGATGGTGATTATGGTGTAATCTTCCGACCACCACTTCTCTCTTCCCCTTGGCCCCTTTGTGGTTAATAAGATGCCACACTAAGCTGCTGCAAATTGAATATGTAAGGAAATATTCAGATAAAGTCTAGTAAGGGCAAATAAATTAAACTGTAAAATTGAAAGTTAGTAAAGTTGATATTTTGAATGAATAGATAAGGATTCTTCTTTTTAAAAAGGCAGCCCTGGACAAAAAAGATGGGATTATAGAGATATAGGTATGGTAGGGAGTCCCTGATTTGGCTACATTGCTGGATCTTGGGTCTTACAAATGTGATATCCCTACCCATCATCGTAAATGAATGAATGAATGAAATTTTGACAATGACCCTTAAAACCAATGACTAATTCTAAGTCAAAATAATGAGTAAATCACAATTTTGTTTTAAACTTCTGTGCATTTATTTTATTTTTCCCCAGTCTTTTTAAAGAGCTTATTAAAAGAATCTAGGCAGAAATCCAGAGACCTCTTTTTTTTTTTGAGGCGGAGTTTCACTCTTGTTACCCAGGCTGGAGTGCTATGGCGCGATCTCGGCTCACCGCACCCTCCGCCTCTTGGGTTCAGGCAATTCTCCTGCCTCAGCCTCCTGAGTAGCTGGGATTACAGGCACACACCGCCGTGCCCAGCTAATTTTTTGTATTTTTGGTAGAGACGGGGTTTCACCATGTTAATCAGGATGGTCTCGATTACTTGACCCCGTGATCTACCCGCCTCAGCCTCCCAAAGTGCTGGGATTACAGGCTTGAGCCACCGTGCCCGAGGTTACCTCTCCAGTAGAGACCTACAGAAGGAAAAACCCATACCACAAAATGTGTGAGTAAAACAGCAAATTAAGAAAGTCCCTTACAGAAAACTCTAGAGTTGCAGATATATGAGTAAGAGATTGGAGGTTAGGACAAGAGAAAGGTGATAAGAAACTTTTTGGAGCAAGCTAACTAAATATGTTTCTAAGTTTTCTCGAATAGATTCTTCATGCCCAAACATTTTTCTAGTCATTTCTCCTTTAACATCTTCATCTTTGTTATTTGGTTGACATATTCTGATCAAGTTTCTAACACAAAATAAGATTGGTTTTTTAGGGAGAAGAAAATAGAGAAGTTAGATGTGTACATATCAGAAAAGAAAGGATGAAAGTCGGTGGACTTGGGAGAGAAGAAAGTCTATGAGACGCAAAGAGTGCTTTAGAAACATAGAACTTTTGAAAATATGACCAAGAGTCATTACTTATAATTTTTCTTCTCCACTTGAGTAACTTCTGCAGTATGATTGATTGGTGGTGGAGCTTCTAGGAAGAAACTAAAAATGAATGATTTTTTAATTCAAAAACTAAAAATGAAAAAATAGGTGAATTAATAGATAAATAAATAAGTAGAAAGCAAGCCAAGAAAATGTTTCAGACCTTCATTGATACGTCCCAGTGCTGTCTACGTGTGTGGGGAACATCGGACAGTGGTGTGAATATTGTAACTGACTCACATTTTGGATGATGGTTGTTCATTATTGACATTGAATTTTCTTTCTCATAGCTTCTATGTTAACATATTTTTAAAGGGTCAAAAAGAGCAAAACTGATCCTTCATGATGAAAGGCATCCCTGAAGTTAAATGTTATTTACAAATATCATTTCTCATTTACTTTTTATGTTTTGGTTTTGTTTTCAGGCAAAAGGACTCTTGTGGAAGATGGAACTCATTGTCCATTTTCCAGAATGTATTTCCAAGCCCATTAATGGACCCTGATACTGCTGTTCTCTGTTGAAATGCTTGAAGAGCACCTGCATCTCTGCTAGCATCTTCCATCCTACTGAAACCATGGTCTTCTCAGCAGTGTTGACTGCGTTCCATACCGGGACATCTAACACAACATTTGTAATCTATGAAAACACCTACATGAATATTACACTTCCTCCACCATTCCAGCATCCTGACATCAGTCCGCTGCTTAGATACAGTTTTGAAACTGTGGCTCCCACTGGTTTGAGTTCCTTGACAGTGAATAGTACAGCTGTGCCCACAACACCAGCAGAATTTAAGAGCCTAAACTTGCCTCTTCAGATCACCCTTTCTGCTATAATGATTTTCATTCTGTTTGTGTCTTTTCTTGGGAACTTTGTTGTTTGCCTCATGGTTTACCAAAAAGCTGCCATGAGATCTGCAATTAACATCCTCCTTGCCAGCCTGGCTTTTGCAGACATGCTGCTTGCAGTGCTTAACATGCCTTTTGCCCTGGTAACTATTCTTACTACCCGATGGATTTTTGGGAAATTCTTCTGTAGGGTATCTGCTATGTTTTTCTGGTTATTTGTGATAGAAGGAGTAGCCATCCTGCTCATTATTAGCATAGATAGATTCCTTATTATAGTCCAGAGGCAGGATAAGCTAAACCCTTATAGAGCTAAGGTTCTGATTGCAGTTTCTTGGGCAACTTCCTTTTGTGTAGCTTTTCCTTTAGCTGTAGGAAACCCTGACCTGCAGATACCTTCCCGAGCTCCCCAGTGTGTGTTTGGATACACAACCAATCCAGGCTACCAGGCTTATGTGATTTTGATTTCTCTCATTTCTTTCTTCATACCCTTCCTGGTAATACTGTATTCATTTATGGGCATACTCAACACCCTTCGGCACAATGCCTTGAGAATCCATAGCTACCCTGAAGGTATATGCCTCAGCCAGGCCAGCAAACTGGGTCTTATGAGTCTACAGAGACCTTTCCAGATGAGCATTGACATGGGCTTTAAAACACGTGCCTTCACCACTATTTTAATTCTCTTTGCCGTCTTCATTGTCTGCTGGGCCCCGTTCACCACTTACAGCCTTGTGGCAACATTCAGTGAGCACTTTTACTATCAGCACAACTTTTTTGAGATTAGCACCTGGCTACTGTGGCTCTGCTACCTCAAGTCTGCATTGAATCCACTGATCTACTACTGGAGGATTAAGAAATTCCATGATGCTTGCCTGGACATGATGCCTAAGTCCTTCAAGTTTTTGCCTCAGCTCCCTGGTCACACAAGGCGACGGATACGTCCCAGTGCTGTCTACGTGTGTGGGGAACATCGGACAGTGGTGTGAATATTGTAACTGACTCACATTTTGGATGATGGTTGTTCATTATTGACATTGAATTTTCTTTCTCATAGCTTCTCCACTTATACTTTATTTTTTTATAGGGTTTGTATATATATGTGTGTGAGCAGTATAAAGAAAGAATGGTATTATTGTTGTTACCAAGAATAAACAATAGGAAAGTGACTACAAATATTACCTCCAGGGTTCAATAGAAATCTTCAATTTAGGGTGAGGAGTTGGTTCTTTGGTTTTGGAGTTTTTCCTTGATTGATTTTGTTTTCATATTAAGAATCAGGATTGTACTTTATTGAGCCTGCAGTTACATTGAATTGTAGGCATTTTGTATGCTGCTAAGGTATGCTTAGTTGACTTTATCAATACTTTTTTATTCTGGAAGACACTGCTGCATTTTGCCATCACATTGGAGCCAAACATCTCAATCAATATATATATTTAGTTTTATTTTAAAAACTAACCCAAGAAGGTTAGTGACATTTGAAAGATCATTACTATTTGCTTTGGTGCACTTTAAGAGACAATGTACAAATTAATTCAGTCTTATTTTTCAGAATTGTTTCTATATATGTCCTTTAGGAAATGTGCATTGACATTTATGGGAAGATAGTTTAATAAATGTTTTATCTGCATGTACATTTGTAAGAGAAAGAATGTAAAATGTAGAAAGTTTTCTAAGCACAATAGCAACTCTTCAGAGCAACGGAGAAATTGAGGAGACAACATCCTTGCAAATTTAAAAGGGGAATGTAGTGAGGGGGATGGTGGGTGCTGGTGCAGGCTATGGTGATTCCTTTTACTCAAGGTTTTTTGTGGAGGATATGAAGGGGTTGACATTTATGAACACCTACTATGTGTCAGGAACTGTGCATCATTTTATCCTCACAGGTTGTGAGGTAGGTATTATTATTTTTTTACATATGAAGAAAGCAGGTCTCAGAGGAATTAAAATCCTGCCCAAGGTTAGTGGTAGAGCTGGGATCCAAAAATCTGTCAGAATCCTAAGGCTGCACTGTTCCACTGTGCCACGCAGACACTTTATTCAGTTTAGATGTCTCATAGTAGAGGGAATTCTATGCATCCTTTAATTTTTAGGCTAAAATATTCTTTTTAAAAATCAGCCTTTATTTTCTTATTACCAGAAGACATATGGAAGCATACAGAAACACTGGAAAATAGAAAAAAAAAATAAAATCACTTACAACCACTTTTTTTGTTGTTTTTTGGAGACAGAGTCTCACTCTGCCACCAAGGCTGGAATGCAGTGATGTGGTCATGGCTCACTGCAGCCTCAACCTTCCAGGCTCAGGCGATCCTTCCGTCTTAGCCTCCTGAATAGCTGTGACCACTCACACAGGTGTGTGCCACCACACCCAGCTGCTTTTTGCTTTTTCTTTTGTAGAGACAAGGTTTTGCCATATTGCCCAGGCTGGTCTCAGACTCCTAAGCTCAAATGATCTGCCTGCCTTGGCCACCAAAAGTGTTGGTATTAAAGGCGTGAGCCACCATACCGGGCCTACAACCACTTTTTAACTTTTTTTTTTTATTTGCAAAACAAGTGACTGGCAATTATTGAAAAATTAAAGATAGCTATGTGTAGGTCTTGCCTCTGAGGGTTTAGAGGTTTCCAGTTACCCACCTGTGTTAGTTTTAAGTGTTCTGGGCAGAATAGCATTGTTGCCCCAATGCTTGCCCTAGCAGAGCTGGAGTTTGTGAACATGCTCAGATGTTTGTTTCCTGCAAAGAAGGGAAAAGGAATCCTGGTCTGAGCCTAGAACAAGTTTTAATAGGGCATGTCTGGCATTTCAAATTATTTTTCTCTTGCTGACAGTCTGCCCCCAGGGTGCATCTAGGGCCTTGGTCAGCTTCTCTGTTACCAGTGGCTCACTTTATAAAACAGCCTACAGGGATAAGGGCTGAAAGTATAGCCACTTGGGTACATCATTAACTAATTAGGTAAGTTAACTGTGGATTTATAGTATCTTTTGAGGATGTTAGTGCTTTGTGAGCCAGTGGGAAAAATAAGCTGCTATTTCTTCATTTGTAAAACCAGAGAATTGGATGAGATGAATCGCTAATGTCCTGTCAAATGTGCTTTCCTCCATACTAGGGTATAGATACTTGAAGAGCCTAGATGACTTCAGCATCACCCTTTGGTCTCCTTCTTTACATTTTACTTCATTAGCTATTTCTAATATTAAATGTTGTGGCACTGTATCAGGATTTAGGGCATTGAAAGATTGATGACATCACAAAAGACCTGGGAAACCCTGCTCTTAAGGAAATTGTACCGGTTTTGGAACTCATTGTCCCGCTAAACAGCTCCTTGGGGACTCAAGCATATTATTCAACATGTTGTTTTGGGATCATCTTCAAATGATAGTCACCTACCTCTTTAATTTCTAATTTTTATTCACAGGCAAAGTTGTTTTTGTCCATAGGGAATTTATAGGATGTAAGTACCATAGTAGATACTAGTAGCATGTTGAAGTGTATTATGCTTTCCATTTTCAATATAAACTCGATTTCAAGCAGATATTGATAAGGACATTTTTGATTAGACTTTCTCTGAGGAAAGTCAGCATGATCTGTATTCATCTTACATATTGGTAGGTCATGAAGACTCCTTTGTGGCTGGAGTTGAAACTTTGTTTTCTTTGAGCTTTGTTTTCTTTGTTCCTGTTTTATGGGCAGTCTCTAGGTGCTTTCATGCTGCTTAATAGGCAGTGCTTCATTTGGTGAGAGCTCTGGAGTGCCTGCTGAGATGCTCCCTGTTTGTGAACAAAGATTATGAAGGGGTCTTTGTGAGAATTCAGCAACAACACTGAACAGCAGTTCTTTTTACACTGGATAATCTTGATCTGATGAGAGTTTACAAACCATTTTGAACATTTTTTATTATGTATACATTTTGAAAGCTTTAAAAATAAGCACTATGGAGCACCTTAGAGAAACGTAGGTGCAAAATCATATGTTGCCTATTACCCCATATTTTCTTGAGGTGGGAAAAGATACCACTACTAATTCTCACTGCTGACAGGCATAATCAGAAATGGTTTTCAGTTTGCCTGTTTTTCCATCTGGATAGTAGGAAGCATGAAAAGAGTTAATGAAATATTTGTGGTCAAAAGAAAGATGCAAGAGAAATTTCAAATAGTATGGAGTAATGTTATTTAAACTTTAATACATGTTTAAGCATCCCCAAGAGAGCTTGTTAACAGTCCAGATTTTTGGGCCCCCAGAGGGTCTGTGGTTGAGTCCAGGAATGTGCATTTTTGATTTTTGAGCCCTCTGCCTGACTCTGGCTCAGGTGGTCCCTGGGAAACGCTTCAGGAAACATCCCTATAGAAACTATATCAATTTAAATATCATCTGTTTTATCCCACAATGTTTGTTTTGCGTTGCAAGCCATTATCTCCTAGGCATGGGTAATCCACATTGAGAGGAAAATCCACACATCACTGTGCCTAATTTGTGCCACCTGTTTGTGTTGGATCTTGCCAGTGTTAACTTTATTTTCTCTCAACTGACAAAATTCTGATAAAGTGTATAGCTTCATAGTAGAGCAAAAAGAGTGATTCAATTGAAAGGCATGACTTTCAGGAGTCTAATTATGCTAATATTTTATTTTCTTCTAGAGAGGTATCTTTATTATACGTAATTCCCTGAAGAAATGTAAAGATTTATCTAATTCCTATTGCTCTGCCAGTTGTGTTCAATGGAAGCATTGAAGTAAAATAAAAAAAAAAAACTTTTTAATCTGTGTATTTCTGTTGCCCATAAAGATACTTAATTTTTTCTTGATCTTTGTTTTTGTTTATGTGAAAATACTTACATATATATCATTTCTGTATATATCACAGAAAAGTTTTCACTTGCTTGACATTTTATTCTACAATAACTTTTAGTTTAAAGAATGGCTACATTCAGATTTATTTTCACAACTATAGTCCTGCTAAACTGCCTTCATTGAAAACTGTTATTATAATAAATAAAAAATATCAAAGCACAAGTTTGTTATTGGAGGTAAGTTATGATAAATTTCTTACTTATCTATTGGTACTAGACCTTTGTAATGAAAATTAATTTATTTTACAATAGTAACTGACCTGTATGGGAAAAAGAAAACCACCTTGAATTATGGGTTCTAGTATTTAAATATCAAAAAATATGGTTCTTTGTGCAACCAAGAAACGAGCTCCTGATAAGAAAATAAATAAATGTTTGACATTTCTAAAGTGGAGTTTTTTTTTTTTTTTAAAGGACTACTGCATCTCATTTAGAAAAGCTTGTCATGGATAATGAAAAGCTGAATGTAGCTTCAAATTCTGCTGCCTTTGGGTTCTTATTTTCAAATTAGCTCTCAAGGCCTGTGTGCATATAACTGTAGTCTAGTTTGAGAAGTTCTCAGAGTAGTTCAAGATGAAATGGTACAAAAACTAGTAGTATAGGGCCAGGCATGATGGCTCATGCTGGTATTCTTACCACTTTGGGAGGCTGAGGTGAGTGGATCATGAGGTCACGAGTCCAAGACCAGCTTGGCCAACATAGGGAAACCCCGTCTCCACTAAAAATACAAACAATTAGCCAGGTGTGGTGGTGGGCGCCTGTAATCCCAGCTGCTTGGGAGGCTGAGGCAGGAGAATCTCTTGAAAGTGGGAGGTAGAGGTTGCAGTGAGCTGAGATCGAGGCATTGCACTCCAGCCTGGTTGACAGAGTAAGACTCCAACTCAAAAACAAACAAACAAAAAAACTGGTAGTAAAGTCAACACCTGTTAGTAGAGTTATAAAGCTGTTAAACAGTTTTAAGAAATTATGTCTAGGGAAGTGATGAAAATTTTCTGCTGAGTTATTTAAAATTAGATTGTCAGTTTGGCAAAGCAGTGATAATGTCTGCTTCTATTTTGATGAAATGATTTCATACTGCATTTCCACTTCTAAAATCAGAGACCTTTCTCTACTTACAAATCCATAGGAAACAGTATTTGTATATGAGTTTCAATTTTGTGCCAGTTAAACATGAAGTTTTAAGTAACAAAAGATTGATTTACAAAAGCAGATTGTTATTGAATCTACATTCAACAGTTTCCTTCTGACACAAAAAGGTAAGAAAGATACAGCAAAATAGATAATAAAGCAACATGTTGAATTAAAACCATATTCACATCTGCTGTGAGAATAATGAACCCTACTCCGTCCATCCATAATAAAGAGAACCTTTATAGAGCCATTTCTACCTTCACATCAAGGTGCAGTCAGTTAGATTTAATATAAAAAAGAAAAACAAAACAGTTGCTTGGCTGTATCAGTCAAGATTTAACTGGAGAAGCAGAACTAGTAGAAGAGATTAAGATTTATTGCAGAGAATTAGCTTACATGATTGTAGGGCTGGCTAGGCACGTCCGAAATATGAAAGACAGGCTTCCAGGAAGGGAAGACTGGAACTCTTAGGCACAGACTGAAGGTGCTGTCCACAGATGGAGTTTCTTAGGGAAACCTCAGCTCTACTCTTTGGGCCTTTAAACTGCTTGAATCAGTTCATCCAGATTATCTAGGTTAATCTCCTTTAGTTAATGTGGACTCATTATAGACTTTTAATCACGTCTACAAAGTATCTTAACAGCAACACCTAGATTAGTATTTGATGGAATAATGGAACAATAGCCTAGCAAAATTAACTCATCAGAAGACCATCACAATGGCGATCTTCAAATTTAAACTACTGTATGAAATAAAATCCTATGATGCTGGAGGTGGTGGTCCAAAAATACAGTCACATAAATATGTGTTGCTCAAGTGGGAGTTTAATAATAAAATGACAAAGTTAAACTTGTTGCAGAGGTTGAGATACACATTCTAACTACATTTAATGTGCATAATCACAGGACACCATTTTTTTGCTCTGATTTTCACTTGATTTTGAAACTTCCTTAAAATGGAGTAATAATCAAATTAGAAAGTAACTAATGTCCTTTCTGTATAAGCTCTCATTCTCTGTGATACTTATTAAAGGCAATACTTTTATTTTAAGGAATTTGAAAACATTTGTAGTTATAACAATATTCTAAGTGTGAAAGTATAATAATAGTACTAATAATGGATGCCCTATTTTGGCCACTAATTGTGGTCAAAATACACTTTCAATCTATTTTAATGCACAATATTTCCCCTTTTCTAGCTGAGGTACCTGTTCCCAAGAAGTTAAGTACATTTTTCAGGAATAGCTAGGATTCATATCTAGGTCACCTTCCCCTATTATTCTCTGAAAACGGAATCAAGCCCCTTGTGAGAAGAGCTTACTAAATGTCATACTGAATGAATATTACTCTTCATGCATCAGATAATCAGCATTAATATACACATCTGTATTCCAAGATGTGGATACTAATGCTAAACTGAGATTGGTGCAGTCTTGGTTTTAAGTCATGGACTGTATTTGGCTAAGTCATAAATAAGACTCTTAGGCTGACTGGGGCCCTGGGAGCCTGGGATACACCATCTCTAATGTCATAGAGCATTCACAGAACCTGCTGACTGCAGCAGAAATATTGGAGTACCCAGCTACTTTGTTCAGATCATTTGGATTGCAGAACTCCTTTTGAATAGACCTTCACCCTGCTATATAATTAGGGTTCCCTTATGTACAATCTGTCTGAAATATTGGGGGTTATCTGTAGTAGCCAGGAATGAGGGAAAGGAGGTGGAGGTGATGAAGATCTGGCAAGGCTGGGTGGGGCCTAAATGGAGGAGGCAGTGTGAGGTTTTCCTGATCACTGCTCTCCCCTGTACCCTACCCTTGCTGGAGCCACCTGCTTGTATTCTGGGGAAGGAAAACCCAAAGAATAAGAACTGCCAAGGACTTCAGCAGTTCCTCAGAGGAAAACTCCTGTGAAAGAGCTCACCCTGAGAAGTGATTCTGTCCACCAGACGGAGCCCCTTGAGCCAGTAAGCACTGTTTTGCTTACTGTTGCATCCCCAGTGTTGAGTCAGACCTGGGATATGGCAGGCACTCAGTTAATTTTGTTAGTATATATTGTTTTTAATTTTTATTTTTTTTAAACAATGACTGAAGAAGAAAACCAATGTTCAGAAGAATCAGTGTTTGGGGATCAGAATCATACAGGCATCTTCATATATAAATTGACCTAGTGGGACTTCTCTGAGTGTCATTAAATGTCTATCTATGGCTGGACGTGGTGGCTTGCACCTGTAATCCTAGCAGTTGGGAGGCTGAGGCAAGCAGATTGCTTGAGCCTAGGAGTTCAAGACCAGCCTGACCAACATGGTGAAACCCTGTCTCTAATAAAATACAAAAATTAGCTGGGCATGGTGGCACATGCCTGAAATCCCAGCTACTTGGAAGGCTGAGACACGAGAATCGCTTGAACTAGGGAGGCGGAGGTTGCGATGAGCTGATATTGCACCACTGCCCTCCAGCTTGGATGACTGAGCAAGACTCTGTCTCAAAAAAAAAAAAAAAAAAAAAAGTCCATGTATATATAAATACAGTAACAACCCATCAGTTTGGAATTTGGGATAAGCAGGCACTTTGTATATAGTTTATCTAAGGTTAATCAAACCCAATTAATAATATAAATTGTTACTGGAGCATATTTAACTGTCAAAGATGTATCAGTGCTGAGCAGGAAGTCGGGCCCTTTGAGTCCCCACATCAGCTTTGAAATGCTTGCTGTGTCACGAAACTTTCAACGTGTCATATAATGGTAGTATTTTAAGAAACTCTTAAACTCATGATTGTTACAAGAATTAGAATTGCTTAATCAATTAAGTAATTGGTATAAAAATCTGTCCCAAAAAACTGTGGTACTATAATTTGTTAGATATATTTGAAAATAATGAGACGGAATATTTTAAAATTATGTAATTTATCATCTATCTGTTCTGTGACAGAACCTCCATTAGAGGTTTTTTTAAACACATTATGTCCTAATAAGCAGACAAGGAACTAGTTCTGGGGCAATTAAATGACTTGACCAGATTTTTGCAGGAGTTAGGAGAGAGAGCTGGGATTCAAACCAGACTCCCCAACTCCCAACGTTAGAGCTCTTTTCACTTCACTCAAGTCAGTAAGATTTTACTGTCAAAAAGGAAATAGTGAGGTTTCAAGCTTTGGAAAAACTTGTTATAAAGCGAGAAGAGGCTAGACAAATGATTCTGGAAAATATCTTAATCTAATAGGTACATTTTAATTAGTAGAAGCAATAATAATGGAACTTTTATAATATTTTAAATAAAATACTTTTTTTTAAAGAATTCATCTCCTCTGTCTGGTCTTAAACTTCTGAGGGGACCTAAGCTGGCCTTCCATAGCCCACCTACTCTGGTTAAGTATTGCTATCACTTTTGCTTTTCTGGGCTTATGCTGGAAGAACTCTTTGTCATGGATGCTGGGAAGCTGTCAGCCAGAGATACACCTCCGCTATGTGGCCTCATCTCATTAGCAAGGTAACTGCAAATGGCACAGGAAACATTTCTCTCTGACAGGAGGGAATAAAGGATTTCTCTTATACGATTTTCCCAGAGGTAATCTCAAAAGCTGTGATTAATCTACACTGAGACATCACAACATGCGAATGTGTGTGAAGGCTGCTATTACCAGGCTGCTATTGGGTTCTACTTGATCTCTCCTAAGGGCAAAAGCCTTCTTATGAAAACAAATATACAGTAAAACAAGATGCATACTGAAGGGAAATATAGAAATGTAATCTAACAAAGATGTGATGCCAGTCATCTCTTCCTACTCCTTCACCCAGGACTTTTTATATAGATGTAAATGTTTATTTCTACCCGCATCTTTCTCCATTAATTACACTTTCTCTACTACTAGATGCTAAGCTCTTTGAGGGCAGGGCACTAAGCTTGTTCATGGTTTCCCCAGCATTTACTATGGTGGCTCACAGAGAGCAGTACCCTCCCAAAGTCTGGAAGTGGACCTTTTGATAATAGAATCTTGCTAGTAAAAACTGGAATAGACTTTTCCAAGCCACATAAGTTTTTGGTAGCAAGAACTGAGATCAACCCCCATGTCTTCAGTCTCTGGTGAGTCACAAACTAATCTAACCTGCTTCCTGGACTTAAGAGAGAAAGTAATCTGGGGGTTTACTTATACCATCTAGGCAAGTTTAAACATTAATGTGTAGAGTGAGTAAGATTGTTAATTTGTGCTTGCTAAATCTGTCAACCCTGAGTACTGAACATATGTAGATATATTTTTGAC